CCTGCATCTTATGAATACCCGGATTCCAATGTTTAAAATATTTATTAATAATATTCAATATTTTTCGTTTTTATTTCAATAAAAACCATATTTCAACTCACACTCCTGTAAATATTTTCCGTCTCCAATTCCAAAGCCCCGTATTACATAGAAAAATTTCCTTCAGCGACCGTAAAAGTAAGCGATGCCAACTTGCTCCGGACAGCAAATATATATCTTAAAATGGTAGTTTATCAATTGTGATTCATGGTTTAATAAATTCAATTAAGTAGATTTTTATCCATCACTATTTCTAAATAATTCTTAGGCTTATATAATTCTACACTTTATAATACTTATGTAATGCTATACCTTTTAAAAAGCAAGCAAAATTTACTTGTTAGTTATTTACCGTTTTTTTAATTATTATGGCGTGTCCGTAAGTAATTGTTTTAACAAGCATAAAATGAATTGCATAATTGGTTAAAGAAAAAAGTTTAATTTTTAGAATGTCTGTGCACATTCAGTTCTGAGGCAGCGCCTCAACGATTCCGTTTTGTTTCAGAACAATTCTAAACAACTCAACCAAATAAAGGACATAATCACTGAGAGTTTCTTAAAAGAGAAAGAAGGTCCCTACAAATCTTTTTTTCTTTCTAATAATCCGTGATCCGAAACATTTTGCTGGCTATTTTTCTTGAAGGCCAAGCTTATTTTAAGTGTGTACTCCTTATAATAAAATAGTTTTTATTTAGCCTTTTGCGCTTAGAACAAAGTCACGCAATTCGAGTAACCTAACCAGAAGTCATCAGACATTTGCAGACGATTTTTGCATGGTAAATGACACACTTTTCATCGTTATCGAATGTTGTAGCTTGCTTGTAAACACGGAAAAGGTTGAAGATTTTAAAACAATTGTAACGAGATTTATATTATCTTACAATGTTATTCGTTTTATTACCACTAATAGCCTTTCGCAGACCCGGAAAAGATTGCTGACCGTTATATTTATATAATATTTCTTTTTGTTTTTGAATTTCACTAGAAAAATAAAAGAACTCTCCAAGATCGGGTTTCTATTGTAAAATTTTTGGTTCGACGTGGTATTGTATGGATTTTAAATTCTACAAGCTAATTTTGTGATAAACATAATAATAATAATTCTAGACACTAAATTTTTTTTTTTATAAATTTAATTGTCATTTTTTAACTATAGTTATTCCAAAATATAGTTATTTTCTAATTAAATTTTGTATATTTCTTATGTAAACATCGAATTTTAAATTCTTTCAGATATTTCAATTACAAAAAATTATCCACTAAATGTTGTTTATTTCCCATTTAACGAAAAAACATAATATTATACTATAAAAAACAATATCTTATATACCTACCGGAAAACCAAAATTCGCATCTATTTAAAAAGACAACGACATAACTATTAAGATAAACATAACTTGCTAACATTCAATAACTTCTCTGCACGAATAACAAGTCGTATTATTGTGCTAAATTTGCTTGCATATTGTGGCGTTGTAAATCAAATAAAATGATGTTAAAATATAAAATTAACTACTACTTTAAATATTCAATAGAAATCTTAGGTTAAATCGAAAAGAATATGTAATGTATGCAGATAAATGTACAAATTTGGTTAACAATTAACCCTTTAGCGCCGACTGTCACAAATACGTGACAGCAAAAAACCGTATCAATCAGGGTAAGAAAATAAAACTGGTAATCAAAGTATTTCTTTAGCAGTTTATTTGTAGGCGGAGTTATAATTTTTTGATTTATTTAATTCACCATTACTTTGTTCAAAATAAAACTATTTAGTTATACTTTGAATTAACATTGATTACATATATGATTAAACTTACAATAATTAAAATAAAAGCAAAGTAAGTCTGTCAAATTAGTAACGACTACATTTAAGTTACCGTTTTTTATTTAATTGCAACTTGATTCTGATTTTGTACGGATGCTTTTCTGAATCACCCGTCCCCAAGGGGTTAAAGCACTTGTATTCCTTAGATTACTAATTTAGATTACACCAATATTTTTGTATAATACTAATATCAATAGAGATTTTTTTTGTATAAATAGTGGTATTAATTCTCTGGTATTAACTGAATAATTTCTTCAGTTATCTACCAAGCCATTTTTTTCAGTGCTTCATGATTTATTTACATTATAACACGTTGAATGACATGGGGGTGACTGGCGAAAACAAGATTATTAGAAACACATAACTCGAGTAAGTTTTTAATTTTTTTTAATATTATTATCGTTACTAAAATGGTTTAACACGTTCACGCCGGGTGTTGCGCCTGAAAGCAGGACTAGAAAATACTGGTAGAAGAACTATTACAATATTAGATAATATTCGGGAGGAGTTAATCTATTCTCAACAATAACAATTCACTGTAAGGAAATTTATCACGGCGAAGAAGCAATTCAATATAAAAATTGCATCCGTTAAAAACAATTGGTAGTTATGGATTTTTATTGTTCCCGGAAAAAAACTAAAAAATTAAATTTATTTGTTACCAGTTTTTACTCCGGTGCGCTGCCAAGATGAGACACTCTAGCGTGACCCACCGGTGGGTCACCCCGGCGTGAACGTGTTAAAGAAATTAACGCAATATAGAACACACAAAAATTGTTTTATTTATATACACAGAGAAGCCAACTTGCTCCGAACTGTGAATAAATATTTTCAAGTGGTAGCTTATTAATTGTGATTCTTGGTTTAATAAATTCAATTTAGTAAATTTTTATCCACCACTATTTCTAAACAATTCGCAGGTTTATATAAATCACCACTTTTTCTATAAAACCAGCAAAACCTGTCTAATATTTGCAAATTTAGTTTGTAGTTATTTACAGTGTGGTATTCAACGTGTTAAAATAAGTGTGAGAGGCAAATGTATTTTTTCTTATAGAAATGCTAATAACAAAAAGAATCTGATTAACTATTTCCCATTTTGAAAAATGCAATCATATTTTAAATGCATGTAATGCTTTATTATCATAAACATTTTATCCCATTTATGCTTCATGTCCCTTTAAAAAGACGAAATAAAAATACAGTAGCATAAATGTTTAATTGTTTGGACTAAAACTTATGCAAAACTAACACATTTCTGTCAACCATAGAAAGTTTATAATAAATACAAATGTTTCAATTTGCATTTGAAGTCAAGGCACTATACCAGACCATTTCTAAAAGCCTCAAGCATGATCTTTCAAATTGTGCCAACAGTTTTGCCATCTAAAATCTACCAACACATTTGCTGCTAAAAGAAGGTTTACGTAGAGTTAGTGCAGAAGTGTCTATTTGTTTTGTCCATCCCCTGTATCTCTTTTTTTGCAAAACAAATGCTAATAATGAAACACTTGTGCTACCATTCTTTAATTTCTGAAAGAAGGAAGCACCCTTTAAAATGAACGTTAAGCACAAATGGGCGAAGAAACATATTTCATGATGCAGATTTGCTACCATTTAAATTATTTTAGTAAGCCACCGGGAGCCTTGTGATGGTATTTAAAAAATCTATTCACAATCATCAATGAAATTGTTAATCAGATACGACTAGGAAAATTTTTTTAATTCCGCACTTATTTTAATTACAGAAAATAAAGCAGTAGCTTGACCTTATAAATCTTTCCATTTATATTCGTATAGTTTCATGAATGCTTTCATGAACTTTTAAAATTGAATTTTAGCAATTATCAAATGAGATAGATTTTAAAGTTAATAGTGTATATTTTACTTTTATATTTAAAGTGGTAAAAATTTTTATTTTTATTTTCTCTTAGTTTTATAGAGCTTATGCATATCATATATTGGTGTCCAAGAAAATATTTTCTGTCTACATTCATTATTCATTTAACTACTGCAAGAAAAATCATTATCGGAAAGGGTAAAAGTTGGCAGGTATGTTATTGTCTTATTTTTGTGGAAAATTCGATATCCACATCAGATTGACAAAATATTAATAGCATTGAAATCATAGTTGTTTTTAAAACTATAGTTTTAAGGATTAAAGAATTTATTTCTCATATTATGTATAATACTCCTTACGTATAATATTCCTTAATATTCCTTATGTATAAATTTCCTTATGTATAAATATCTAAGCTTAGTGTTTTAAATTTCCTAAAATATTATTTTAAAAACCAAATCCATTGATGTTGAATAAACATTTTCAAAAACTGAATTTTTTCTTACAAGCAGGGGAAGAAGTGGCGTGGTGGCTAAGGGGAGAGAGCGTTAGCCTTTTAATGAGGTGAATCGGGTTCGAATCCCAGCGATGGCTCGAACTGACCACCGTGCAAACGTAAAAGTGGTCTCAGTGGTAGACAGATCATGGGCTAGAGTCAACGTCTCCTTTAACTGAAAGCCTCCACACGGTTTTTTGTTGGTAGTCTGATCAGACCACTATGAAGATAAACCAATTAGTAAAAGAACCATTTAATATGAAATCTATTAAAAATTAGAAAATGATAACAAATATATGTCTAAAAATTGGTTCAATTTATGAACATAATTGGTTTGTTTTACTTACTTGTCAACCACTACAGATTCAATTCTCAAATATATATGATAAATTTCTTTCAAGTACTTTAAAAATAGAATTTGGGTTCATGCGCACAAGTGGTTCGCTTTTTAAATAATCTGCGCAGACTACTTATAAGAAACCGTGTTGAGGCTTTCTTATGTAGGAGGTGATGTTAGAGTCCCCTTGCCGTCAGGCTAACCGCGGGAGGTTTCGGTGCTTTCCTCTCCATGGAACACAAATGCGGGTTAGTTTCGCCAAAAAGTCCTCCACGAAGGTAAATTTATCTTCTAATACTTGATCCAGGAGTTTCTTTGTCTTCTGGATTGGGTTCAAAATTACAAGGCTACGGAGTTGAACATTAGTAGTCATAAACCCAAAATCAGGTCGGCTGTTAAACGATGTTTATGAAATAAAATAAAATCGGGAGAACATAGATTTAAAAAAAAGAACACTTACTTTTTAGATCGAATGCTCGATTTCCAAATCCATAGTTCAATATTTTCTTGCCTTCAAAAAGTCCAAAATAAATCACACCTTGAAACCTATTGGTTTCTGAATCTAAGTACTCAACATTCCTTATGCTGATGTTAAGCCCAGTTCGCACGGGTTTCACTACAACCCACTCTTGTGACAGCATTGCACTGCATATTAGAGCAAATGTGGCACAGTTAACAAGAAACACGATGCACACAAGGCATCTCTTTGTCGTGTCCATAGGAAAATATGCTGGAAACATGTTTACAATTTTGTTTTTAATTTTTCAACTTTCCTCACTTTATACTGATTTAAAAATCATCAACATCAGATTAATGTTCTTTAGGTTATATGCTTGAGAAAAAATATAGTCACAAGTAATTAGAAAATGTAAGCATTAAATAAATTTGTTATTGTTCCAAAAATTAATCTGGACATAACTTATTGTTTGAAAAAGTAAAATATCGTCTGGAGCAGTCCGTTTTCTTTATAGTTTATAAATTTTATTTGTTTTTCAACTAATTGACTCTTCACACATTTAAGGAATAAAAAATATCAGTTTCTAACCAAAGAATCCGAAAGTAAAACTTTTTCTCTAAAATTGAAATAAAAAGCAGACGATTCCAATTTCGAACAGTAAATCAAAAAAAGAAACTATTTAACACTTACGCCTTCTTGAGAATAAAACTATAGAATAGCATATCGAATATTCCTTTCTTAATAAGTAATATCAGTTTCAGGCCGAACTTCCAAAAATAGAACTTTTCCTCTAAAATCTAAATAAAAAGCAGACGATTTCATCTTTTGTTCAAAAAAGTAGCGCAAATCGGATGATGACACTTTTACATTCCGACACAAAGACAAAATGCACAATTTTTGAATGAAACAAATGAAGATGAGAACCACATTGTTCTAACGCAAACAATGATGTGAAATGCAAAGATGAGAAAAAGAAAACTCTTCCAAATAAATCGGTGTCACTTCAAAAGTGGGCGCGTGTTTTTCTTCCCTTCTCCTCTTTGCCAACCAGCTGATTTTTCGACCAACTGTAGCCAAGCGAGTTCCGATTTCAAATGCAAATTTCAGCAGACGAGAAAAACTTTCAGCTCGGTTAATCTAGGAATCATCCGAGCCAGAATCTCGTCAACAAGTGATGAATAAACCGGTTTTGTGATGATGGATAGTAAAATAATGCGCTCGTGCTGGGATTATATCATAAAAAAGATCAGTAGGATTAAAATCGAAAGCAGTTTATTAATGATGGAGCGTGTAATCCATACCGAATTAGAATTTAATCATCTTCAGGTGTTAACATAAGTGAAAACTTTTTAACCCATGTAAAATATGTGGTCATTCTAGCGATTCATACAAAAGTAAAAATTTATAGAATCGCTTTTCTTTTTTTCTAGTATATTTAAACTAAATCAAGTATATTAAAACTAAAGGTTATTGTGTGACAATAAAATCTAATAAAAATTACTGATCCACAAATAAATTAATAAAAACGATTGATTAGATTCTAAAAAAAACCCAGCAGACATATTTTCCTCCATTTGAGGTGTTTGAGAATGTAATGAACTGACGCTGAAATAAAACAAAGTAATTTTTTTATACTTTTATTATTAAAACCTAATAAAATGATTATTAGCCAGTTATGTGAATATTTAAGTTATTCTTGCGTAAAGTCGAAAAAATGTTTGAGAATGTAATGAACTGATGCTTAAATAAAACAAAATAATTTTTTTATACTTTTATTATTAAAACCTAAGAAAATGATTATCAGCCAGTTATGTAAATATTTAAGTTATTCTTGCGTAACGTCGAAAAAATGTTTGAGAATGTAATGAACTAATGCTTAAATAAAACAAAATAATTTTTTTATTCTTTTATTATAAAACCTAAGAAAATGATTATCAGCCAATTATATAAATATTTAAGTCATTATTCCGTAACGTCGAAAAAATGTTTGAGAATGTAATGAACTGATGCTTAAATAAAACAAAATAATTTTTTTATTCTTTTATTATTAAAACCTAAGAAAATGATTATTAGCCAATTATATAAATATTTAAGTCATTATTCCGTAGCGTCGAAAAAATGTTTGAGAATGTAATGAACTGATGCTTAAATAAAACAAAATAATTTTTTTATACTTTTAGTATTAAAACCTAAGAAAATGACTATTAGCCAATTATATAAATATTTAAGTCATTATTCCGTAGCGTCGAAAAAATGTTTGAGAATGTAATAAACTGATGCTTAAATAAAACAAAATAATTTTTTAATACTTTTATTATAAAACCTAAGAAAATGATTATTAGCCAATTATATAAATATTTAAGTCATTATTCCGTAGCGTCGAAAAAATGTTTGAGAATGTAATGAACTGATGCTTAAATAAAACAAAAAAATTTTTTTATACTTTTATTATTAAAAACTAAGAAAATGATTATTAGCCAATTATATAAATATTTAAGTCATTATTCCGTAGCGTCGAAAAAATGTTTGAGAATGTAATGAACTGATGCTTAAATAAAACAAAATAATTTTTTTATACTTTTATTATTAAAACCTAAGAAAATGATTATTAGCCAGTTATGTAAATATTTAAGTTATTCTTGCGTAACGTCGAACAAATTCCATACCTGCCAACTTGTATAGTAGCTGAAAAAGATTTTACGATGTGGTAGTAAAACAACAATTAAAGTTAGAAATATTTTATAAAAAGTAAACTACCGAAACATGTAAGAGCTAATTAATCGATCAAATATATAATGTCCACATATTTTTTAACTATTGATTTTTCGTTAAAAATTTAAAAATATTTTTAAAACTTTAAATTGAAGATTTAATACGTCAAAACGCTATAATGTTGCTACCACTAAGAAATTTTTTCTTAATCGCCGTGCAAGTTGACAGCTATAAAATTCCTAATAAAGGTTATTTATTAAGAGGATGAAAACTCAGCAATAGGTTAAAAAATACTAGTTTATAATTATGCATATAGAATTTTAAATAATCAGTATCATATATCTTTAGCTATTTTTAGATGAATTTCACTGTAATGAAATAATTTTGTACCATCTGTGACTCCGAGAACTTTAACACTTTTTCCGATATTGGATTTTCTAAATGGTAGTAAAACAGTTACCAAAAACCAACTCAAAAATATATTTAAATTTTGACCAAGTTGAAATTCGCTATCGTATATACTAGTATGCTTTTATACATTTGTTGTAATTATTTACATGTAGGGGTGGTCAAACTCATATAAAATTATTATAATTCAAAAAGTTGAATGGTATAACATGAGTTTCGCCACTGCTTTAAATATGAAAATCTTCCTACAAAATCGGAAGAGTTGGCAGCCATGAAAATGCTATATGAACTATTTTAAGCACAAAATAACTTAAAATTCACTTAATATTTTCATATTATAACTGGCCGGGATAGCCTGTTTTTTTTAAATATTTTATATTACAACCGTCGTTGAACAGCCGACCCAATTTTTGGGTTTACGACTACTAATGTTCAACTCCGTAGCTTTGTAATTTTGAACCCAATCCAGAAGACAAGGGAACTCCTGGATCAAGTATTGGGAGAAATTTACCTTCGTGGAGGACTTCTTGATGGAACTAACCTGCATTTGCGTCACATGGAGAGGAAGACCACGAGGACCTCCCATGATAAGCCTGACGGCAAGGGGACTCTAACCTATGATCTGTCTACCACTAAGGATATTTCACGTCAGCACTGCGGTCAGTGCAAGCTGGATGCGGAATTCGTATCGACCAGCTATCGCCGTGATCGAACCCCGGATCATTGGAGGGCGAACTCTCCATCCCCTGAGCCAGCCTCTCGGGATAGCCTGGTTGGTAGGGTGCTGGACTCACGTCTGTGAGAACGGGAGTTCGAATCTAGCCGACCAAAGTCTCCCTGTGTAGTAAATGGTGACTGGTGCACGTTTAATCTGTCGGGTCACAAGTTCTCCATGTTCTCATAACAAATCAATACCTCTGGGGGTAGTGAATTGGAGATTGATCGTTCACAGGTTCAAGTCAAAATTACGATCTGTGCATGAATGAATGGATCCGCCCAATAAACGGGTGTGACGTATTAGTGTAGCAGAAGTCAAAATCTTGGCCATATATAACACCCCATGCCTTAATGGCAGATGACAACAACGACATATTATAAATAACATCTATAAAATATTGTGATCAGTAAATATTAAGGTCAAGAAAACTGAGATGGGCGCAGTAGGTCTTGGCCCTCTATGGGCTGTCGTGCCGGTGAGTTTAGTTTTAAATATTAAGTTTAAAAAATTTAAATTCCAGAGTGCTGGCGAATAAAAATTTAACAAGTTATAAAAACGCAATTCATTTTTTATTTATTGAATTAATTTAACTATCCAATCGTAATTACCACCTTGACATGCATCGTAAGTTATTCGTATTTCAAAGGAAAAAAAAAAAATCTTAGACATCACTTTCAATTGTAAACGGAAAAAAGTATGTTACAAAAAGCTGCTAATTTCAATATCTCTAAATAGATTTCTATTATTCACCACTTTTTATATTTTTAGTCTCCTGTGGCATTTCTGAGAGTCGTGACATTGGACGTTCCCTCAGAAAGGCCATTGGAGTACAAAGGGATAAGTTTCGAATTTCATATAGCTTGCCAAATTAGTTGCCAAATCTTTAAATAATGATTAAAAATCTAATACTGAATTAATCGACATTAATTATTAAAAATATGAAATTATGATAGTTTATATAAATAAAAGTACCTGTACAAAGACACAAGAAAAAAAAATTATAACAGGAAAGCGCACATAGCGGAGTACGATAACATTTCCAGTCATGAGTTCCTATACCAGTGATTCCCAATGACGTGAATCGGGTTCGAATCCCAGCGATTGCTCGTCGATACGAATTCCGCACCTGGCTCCAACATTTCCCACCTTCGAAGAGTCTCCTTGCCGTTGCATTAACTGTTTGACGTTTTCGCGATTTTCCTCTCCAAGTAACGCAAATGCGGGTTAGTTCCATCAAAAAGTTCTACACGAAGGAAAATTTCTCCCAATACTTGATTCAGGAGTCTTCTGGATTGGGTTCAAGATTACAAGGCTACGGAGTTGAACAATAGTAAATCCTAAAAATTAGTCCGACTGTTCAACGACGGCTATGAAAAAAAGAAAAAAAAACTATGGTGAAATTTATATCTAAATTATTTTCCACTAGTTATTTAATATTGATCTGATAACTATTCTCAAAGTTAATTTTCGTCCATTTTCATGATTATTTAAACGAGAACAGCATTTCAGATCATTTATATTCAGTTGATGCGCACAATAAAATGAAATTACGAATGAGATTAGATCAACTGTCTGACATTAAACCCAATTTTAAGACTAATATTGTTGAAACTACGCGATGATAAATGGCATTTTTCAATCATTCATTAAATATTTTTAAAATGATTGATAAAATTATAATTTATTAAATATTTTAAAATAAATAATTAATACTTTTCACATTTGCTAATGAAATTTCTAGTTCTTTTAGTTCTTGCAGTTCATTTACGTCTCACTGGAGCTGCACAATGGGCTATTGGCGACTATCTGGGAAGCATCCCTGAGGATGATCCGAAGACATGCCATCATGATTTTGAGCCTCTGCCGAGGGGATGGCACCCCCGCTTCGGTAGCCCAACGACCTGCACGCGAAGTCGAGCACTTTACGGTAGAACAGTTTAATGAGGACCCATACCGCACACCCCGGCCCATACGCAGACTGATCCGAGTGATCACCCACCCGCACACTGACTGCAGCCAGTGATGCTTGACTTCGGTGATCTGCTGGGAACCGTGTCTTAACGATCAATCCACTGGGGGACAATGAAATTTCTAAGTCGGGGGGTTCCGCTGAAAGTGGGTCGTTCATTTAGGGTTCCGCGGTCGAAAAAAATTGGGGACCGCTCCCCTATTCAATTCTTAAACCTTATGATTTGCCCGGTCTGTGTAGGGGTTAAGGAACTGCCCTTTCATCAGAAAGGTTCTGGATTCGAATCCCGGGCAAGACATGGAT